CTATATATATATATATATATATATACCAAAAGAAAATGAAAAATCCGAGCTGGTTAATTAAATTTAATCAGCGTCAGATGTGGCCTAATTAGAGAGCATTTATTGTACATCAATGACGTTTTATGTTTGGTCTCTTTCATCTAGGGTAAAATCTCAGCCATATTAATTTGCTTTGAACAAACGAGCTCCAGTAATAACGAATGCAAAGCGCAATAAAAGAAAGAAAAAAAAACGAGACAGTTTTATAATCCTAACACCGTTTCGCACAAGCCAATTATATTGAACGAACTTTAATAACTAACGCACACACTATCCAGCTTATACACGAGTATCTTCTCTTTTTTTGCATCCAATTATAAAAGGAAGTTGACACGTAGCTTTCAAGCCGATCTTTTTGAACATAATAAGTTCTACACGGTGGCAGTATTTCAAGTTTTAAAATTACTTTTTTTTTACTTTAAAAATATATTATTTCGAGACCTTCGGATTAGTCACTTCAGAAATTGAAAGGGGGCGTAGCCAACACCACAGAGTATATGTGTGTGTGTTGTCTTTAGAAAAATAAAAACGTGGACTTTTTCTTCTTCACGAATCTAAGTGGTTTAGATTAAAGTCAAGCGATTAATTAAAAAAATAGAAGATAGCGGACATTTTAGAGTTTTTAGAATAATATTGAGGTAACCGTTCGACCCCAAGAATACACCCCAGCCTTAAGTATTTTTTGTATAACGAACAATTTAAAGCGCGATAATTTACCGAATTGCATTCAGATGTTCACACGATTATTTTGTAAACGAAAATAGCTGACTAAATATTAATAATAATTTCTGAAATAACATCAATACTAATTATTCGAATTACGATAAAATTAAATAATTTACTAAAAACTGCGAATCTGGAACAATTTGTCCGCTGTTTAGCTTATATTCAATATCATTTAAAATACATTAACACTGCACATTAAGCGTTTTTAATTTAGCGAAGTTGTTTTCTGTATCTAACATTGTTACGACAGCGGAAGTCACGTGACTCTGCTCGCGCATGCGTAACTGAGTTTCTCGAATTATCAGGGAACTCCTCGAAATTTGTCGAAGCCTCTTTGCTAGTATATAAGCCTGGCGAGAAAAGCCAGTGGACGATGATGAATGTATGATAGTTAAGCAAACAGCAGTTACGGTTTTTCGGGTAATATAAAGTGTGTGTTTTGTACTCGTAGAGAACGAAATTATCGAGGTTGTGAATCGCTATGATTTATAGCGTGTATTATAAAAGTCGTTAAGTAGAAAATGACGAGAAACGTACTGACTGTGGAATTACTCTATACTAAAAGTTTGTATCGAGAAAGAATAAACTGGTTTAATCAAGAAGGGACTTGTATCGCTGAAGTTCCTGGAAAGAATTTATACCGGAAATTATCAAACAAGCAGATACGTAACAATATATTACAAGGTTTTTTATTTCTTTGCTATCAGAGTATTGTCAATCTGAAGGAATTTTAATATTTTTCATAAGAAATTCTACAAACTTGTTTTAGAAAAGAAGGGCATTCCGAGATGTGACCAGGTCGTGTTTTAGTGGTTAGCTTCTCAGACTGTGAATTCGAGAGGTCACGGTACGCCTCCCGTTGCCCCCAAAACTCGCTCAGCACTTTAGGTGCGTTATAAGAATTATTGTCAGATCCCTCTATTCGGTTAGACAAGATTAACTGTTGGCTAGTTACCTTTCCTGTAACGTATCAATTTAAACTGCGAGACAACTATGCCCGTAGAGACATTAGTGTAACTCTGCGCGAATATTCTGATATTTTTAATTACTCATGGCTCAAGTGACGTATAATAATGATAATAATAGAAAAATAGGGCGTAAGAAACAAGCTCTAAACTTCAGAAATAATTTTACTCGTCTACAGTTTCAGACCCCGTAAATTGTTTACAAATATAACAAGAGAGGGATAGAAATTTCTTTAAAAATGAGTATTAAACGTCAAAGCCACTTTATTAACAAACCTGATGACATATTTCTCAAGTTAAAAAAGAACAGAAGGTCTTGCAAAGCAAGGAACAATAACACGAAAGAAGCTTAAACAAGAGAGAATCTTCAATATATACCATCCTTCCCTGAAATTCAAATTATTCTAGGCAGGATTAGATTAAATTAATTTATGAGAATTTGGGCGTAGACAAATATACGAATAGAAAGAATTTAACCTCCCGAGTCTAAAATTGTAATTAGATCTCAAATCGGTCACGAGATGACGGAGCTATGAGCTAAAAGTTTGTACTTGAAAAAAGAACAACTAAAACTCGGAGCCATTCTATGAGCCGTTATGCCGCAGCTAAAATTCTCAACGCTTAATGCGATAGTTTAAAAGGAATATAAAAGTTTAAAGCAGGCAGTTAAAAACACACAGCTCTAAAAAATATGATAAAGGGACAAAACAAATAGAAAAAAATCACAATTTGTTATAGTTCGTAGATTCTGTTGTATGCTATTTATACTTATTTTTGTATAAAAAAGATGAAGTTTTAACATTCGTGGACTATAAACTGAAACGAGGACTGTAGGTGGCGTGGATGGATATTAATGTTCGATAAACTAACAGGTAGAGTGCGCTGGATGATTTTTATTTATTTTAGGGTTAATTTTATTGTTTTTTAGTTTCTACTCTTTGCTATAATTTCTTATACATTTTTTCGAGATTTGTTTTATTCAAAAATGGGCTTGCTGGGGCTAAAACTACCCCTAAATGTGCTTTATCCTGCTCTGTAGCCCCCTGCACTCAACGAAAATGCTTGTTGTTAAAACAGATTTAATTCCTAATACTGCATAATGTGTGGCCACGAGATGTAGAGTGCATTCCTTCCCGCAGTTGTTGTCTACCATACATCAGCCCCCTAGCGACGTCCATGATTATGGTTGACATATTATTATGTGTTATTTTTTAACTTTCATAGATAAATTATTAGTATTGTCATTATAAATCTTATTACATTTGTAGTCCCTAATCGTAGTGGTTAACTCAGCACATCTTCTTACACACCGATAGGCACATTTGTTGTATCTCTGTCAACCGCCGTTTTTACAAATTATTTACGTTGAAATCTCAAATTGAAGCAATTTGAAAAAAAAAAAAAATCTAAGAAATGAATTTAAAAAAACCTGACTAAAAACACTTAATATCATAAACCAATTAAACAAAAATCTAAAACTTGAAATGATTAGAATTTGTTTGTAATTAAGCACAAAGCTACATAATAGACATGCCACTGGGGGGGGGGGGGCAATGATTAGAATAAACCAATCATCAGTTGGGAGAGTGGTGGCATGGCCTGGTTGTTAAGGCGCTCGACTTGCAACCTGAGGGCGTTATTATTTGACGGTTAATCCCGCTATTCGTTGGTAAAAGAGTAGCCCAAGAGTTGGTTATGGGTGATGTCGACTAGGTGCCTTCCTTCTAGCCTTTCACTGCTAAATTAGGGACAGCTAGCGCAGA